TCCTCGAACTACTGTCATCGTTAGCGCGGGCCGCTTAATGTGCGCCGAGGTTCGTTTAATGTGAACGCGGGTGCTCTTTCCTCCGTGAAGATTGCGAGAGCCTGATGTCACTTAATGCGGACTCGGGTTTGCTTTGTGTCAACGCGCGGGCTCTTTTCCTCGACACGAGCTGCGATGGAGTGTGGAGTCGGTGTGACGCTGCCGGTCAGGTACATGTATTATAGTGGCCCGTATACAACGTGTATGTGTCTGTGTGTCAAGTTTCGAGGAAGCGTTTCAAATAGGAACCTAAAATTACAATAGAAGGTGAAACGGTTGCACCGAAGGACGCGATGTGGGAAAACTTCCTGATCTTCTGACACAAAAATTGCATGTCTCTGTGTGTGTGCAGGGAATAAATAGAAAACCCTCAGTTATTTTTTACCTTGATACAGTACTCCGATTATACTTTTTTCCTATTTCTTTCGCTTATACGTTATAGACGTGACGGCTGCGTGACGTTTATAGACGGCGGCGTGACGTGGCATGACGTCACGGCTGCGTTTTGGTGTTAGATAGACCCATAATTTTTTTTTCCACCTAATATGAAACTGGCTTTCGAATAGACCGATATCACCAGCCCGTTTGGTCTGTATTGTCTTCTATGTCCCTCTATCGTTTTGTAATTCAGATAAGGTTCGCGAGATTGTCTCGAACCATGGCTGCCGACCTTGAAATAGTTGTATACCAACAATCCCTGCTGCAAAGATTATGTGTTCCTGTCTCTTCCGTTATACCACGGGCCTCCGCGCGGTCCTGCACGAAATCGCCCGCGGTCTCGCTTTGTATAACAGCCTGGTCGCACTAGGAGGGTGGAGTTCGGTTTGCAAGGTCACCTCCGGAGTGTATATCAAGGCGGAAGTGTGGAGGTGTTTCCCCGGGCAAGGTGAAGGGTTGCTCACACGGGGGTCATTCTTCGTGATTGAGAAATGATAACGGTGCGGACTGTAACAGAATGTGGTGCCAGAAGGTTAAGGCGGTGGGCCCCGGGAGCGTGCTGCTGGCTCCAAAGTTCAGTATACACTTGTAAGAAACGATCGCTGTTTGCGCCGTATACGGTGTATGCCTGCCTCTCTTATATCTCATACATGTAGTGTATACATTATATGTGCATGCACGAATAAAACTGCAAGGTGCAGCCACCGGAAGAACGCGATTATGTATTAATGCTGCTCTGCCGTTTGTATACTAATACGACCGTGATTGCTTGTAGTAAAAATAATGACACCAAGTCACATAAAAAAACTTATAAAAGCCTGGCCACCGGGTGAACTTTCTACATTGGAAAAATGCGAAATTTAGGCCGAAAACGCGTACTGCGTGAATTTTCCATGAGTTCATACAAGCTTACACCGTTAATCAACGACAACGGCTGGATGATGGACCAAATCGAACTCGGCCACCAAAGGAGGTTTAAACAAATAAGAAATGAAGTGCCCAACCTACTATCGCGGGCAATATAAGCTGAATCATTCCTTCCTGCTTCTCTGTCGTAAATGCCAGTATTCGAAAGAGCTGCGGCCCTTACTATAGGAATGCAACGCGACGGTTAGGTCCCACTCTTCGGATCGTTTGACAAACTGAGACATAATTCAGCTTTTGGGAACCGCAAAAACAGAAAAAAAAAAAGCCCACGTTTGTCATCGAGAAAAATGACCAGACTGAAAACGGGAGTCCGTGGCGCTCCTAATCATTCAATGTCTTTTTCGGTGACTTTCGACGCCAATATAGTTTATTCTTTGTTATCTGGACGTGCACTGAAAAAGGATCAAGTTATGGTGACAAGGACCGAAGCTTGAAGCTATGCGGTCACACTACTCGAATACATAATATATGTGTACATATGTGCGCTTCCAACATGTCTGAAGGCAGTGTTTGTACGACCAACGTGACCGTTACACACGGAACAAACACGCCCCGAACATTTTTTGCAGACTCTCTATTGTACGACGTATTAGCGAGTGTAACCGGGGGCTTTAGGTTTCTTCGCGACTTCACCGAAGCATTGCATCCCAACCGGCTTCAGGCCCACGACCCAGTGAAGCAAAACGTCAAAGCCGCGCCGACTCGAAAGTGGTTTCCCGGTTCGCGCAAATCGCAACCGAACACCGGCGCACGACTTCGTGTCCGACCTCGCCGCCGCATTGAAACTCCGCTGCGCTGCATGCAGCCGCGGCAAAGCCGTGTTCCCGACTGCCGTAATGGCAGATCTACGACACCGTCGGCTTTTGTCCGCGGTTGAACTGGGACAGGGCAGGAACTATGGCGGAATCGCCGAGAACGAGAAAGAAGAAACAAAGAAGTGTCAATCACCGTTGCCGCGCATTGAGATCGCTCGTTGTTGTTGTGTGTGTGTGTGGGGGGGGGGGGGGGGGGGGGGGGGGGAGGGAGGGAGGGGGGGGGGGGGGGCAGGCAGGGCATCGGTCGCAATCACTCGCTCGTAACCGATCTTTTCGACGCGGACGCGATCGAACGCCTCTGAAAGCTGATTGGTGCGAATTAAGGGGGACGCTGGAAGGGCCGGGCTGTCAGCGAAGCGTGCCTGCTCGCGACCCCATAACCTTTGTGTGCGAAAACTCACGCTTCGTGTGTCGCGTATCGTATGAGCTGTTTATTGCATACCGTGCGAATCAAATGGATCGCTGGCCCTTTTGAAGGAGACGGCATAGCGGTTCTTCAACGTATCGAGCTGAGCTGTCGGGGCAGAGGTGTCGCAGTTTCGATGAATGAGCATTTCTAAGGAACGGGTCGAAAATGAAAAGCCTGAATTCACCGCGGCCGTCTGCAAATGAAACACGTCTGGGTGACGCAACCGCCCAGAGATGGGAGCATGCTCTTGACCGAAACCGAAATTACCCGAAAAATTATATTTTTGTCGATTTTACATCAGTTGAGTGTTTCTCATTAGTAAGTGTAAGAAAACCCTGCACTGCACTGAAAAAGCCGGCGCCGCTTTTCACTTAAAAGCCGGCTGTCGCACATCAGGTTTTGCGGAGCGCAAATTTGTCTGCTTCTTTTGCAGGGGTTATGATGACGTCAGAACATCCGAGCTCTGATTGGTTCTGATTGGAGGATAGTGGTGAGACCTCAAAGCAAGCTGCCTTGAGGTTTACCCACTGTCCTTCAATCAGAGCCAATCAGAGCTCGGCGTTTTTCTGACGTCACCTCAACTCTTGCAAAAGAAGCAGACGAACTGGCGCTCCACATTTTTTGGCTGTTGCGCGACATCTTTTGCTAGCAGGCGGACGTTGTAGGTGGTGAAATCAGGTTCTTAATTTTCTTACTTGCACCAAGGCAAGTTCATTCTTTGACGTTTTTATGCACAAAATGGACCATCTTCGCGGCCACCTCTGCAAAATTTTAGCGCGAATCGTATATGGAATCGATTTTAGCGCTCATAATGAGACGACGATTCATTTGATTGGTTAGGTTGTAGAAATATGCAGTGTGGGCTTTCTCAGTGCAACTTACCCGCGAGCGAAAAATGCTGGGTCATTGGGCCGTGGACGCGAGGGCGGAATCTGATATCTCGCAGAATGGAGCTACTGCGCATTTTCAAAATGCGTCTCAGGGCCAAGCAGACAAATATGGCAGCACGCTGAAGCCAATTATAAGCGGGTTTTGTTTCATTTTGATTTGGATGCCCCACCACTTGTGCACGTGCGTCCGTGAAATATATTAGTTGTATTGATGTTTCTTTACCTATAGAAGCGAGTGTTCCTTCGCGTTCGATTACTTGTGTATAGTTGTGAAGAGGCGATGTGGCCAATGTAGAAAATTATGTTTTCTGTTGGCTTTTTTTCTTCTTTTTTTTGCTTTCACATTATACGCGTGTTTCTGAGGGTGGATGTTATTGTTAAATGAAAAGCAGTGCTGACATTTTTATTCTGTACCTTTCGCAACCCTGTAATGCCAATATCCCCTTTGTGAGGGGCCTTTCCCGGCAATACTTTATCGTTTTAAAAAATAAATTTCTTCAAATATTGAGTAAATATAGTAGGCATAAAAGTCAGAAAGCACGCACAATTTTTCCTAGGCAGGATATTTTTTTCTCTTGACATTGAATGGGTTTATTTATTCAGTTATCATTTATGCGTATATTTTTTTTTTCGGAGATTAGATTGCTGTTTTTTCCAGATGTTGGTATTTCTAGAACATTTATATATAAAAAAACGGTTGTAATGCCTCATACACACAATAAGCTTCACAGAATTATTTAAACTTACAGACGAGCTCCCTTTGATCACGAGGCTTCACATATCAGGGATCTCGTTCCGCTTCATTTCACTTCCTCATTTCTGTGCCTCTAAAGCAACGTTCTTTTAAAAAACGCGCACACGCAAGCGCAGTATGCCGCTTTTCGACTCACCTAATCCCAAAGTGCAGGGAGCCCCACGGTCCTGGTTTTTATCTGCTCGCTGTACCTACGCCTCCGTCCTATTAAAGCTTCCGTAAACTCCGCTCCTTCCATAGCATCTTATCCAACCCTCGCTAATCCCTTCCTTCAAGAGGAGAAGCGAAGCATTACACGTACCTTCTTTATTACAAGCTACCATCAAACCTGAAACAAAACATCTGCATTTTTTCCTACATTCTTTGTGATGGCATCAAGATTACGCCGACAAAGTCTAAACTCACACGCTAAGTAGCCTATATAGCGGAGTTGCGTAAAAGCCCGCACAACTTCCCTATTTGAAAGTAGCTTCTAAGAATTGTATGCTGTTGTTTCTCTTCTCTTTAATGCCGTACTTTTTTTTGGCTACGGCGAGCACTTGCACTTATGCGCCTGCTCGCTGAAACTCCGTATCACGTACGGCTAGGAACGGGCTTCATAGAGCCGCCGAAGAGAAATAACTCTTGCTTACATAACGCACTCTCCTCCTCCTCCTCTTTCCTCGCGTGTTGGGGAAAGGGAAACGTAAAAGAAAGGGCGAAAAACGTAAGCTTTTCCTCTCTCCCTCGACGCTGCCAAGTTGCCGTTGCGTTCGCCGGAGCCGCTACAGACTCACGTGCGTCGAGCCGAGGACGGCAGCTCGCGGAGTAGTCCGCGAAACTTCAAACGAGCCAACTCTAGATTTTATACCGTTTGAACTCCACGGGTGTTACGTTCGAAAACAAATACCGAAATCCCTTCCTGCGTCGAACCGAAACTGACAGTTTGGTTGCCCTGTTTTGTCGTCTGCAAACTTGCGCAAGTGACGTCTGCTTCATCAACTGCGACCCCCTCCCTGCTCCGTGATGTAGCTCGAAGCTTCGAAAACGGAACTGAAGGTTCCACCGTTGCTGTGTTTTATCGTCCGCTATTTATGTCTTCTGGCCGATTGCGTCGATGTCAATGTCACCTGCAACCTTCGTCTGCTTTTGATGTCTGAATCCTCTCTGGAGCCGCCTGCTAGATTCGTTCGGTAGTGACGTCGTCTGCTTCGTCGCTCCTGTCGTCTGCTTCGTCCGTTTTGTCGTCTGCTTCGCTATCGCGTCAAGCGTCGTCTCGGTGGATTGCTTACGCGAAGGATTTCGGCGAAGGAGTTTCTCATCGCTTCCGCTGCTGTCAATTTTGGCGCCTCGGATGTTTTCGCGGGCCTGACGGTCGGATTGCATCCGGATGTGACGCCGACGCCGCCGGAAGTGACGTACAGTTTGGCGCCACTTTTTGTCTGAACGTGTTGTCAGTGTCAGGTTGTGCTGTTAGATTAGTGACGGCAGTGTCGTGGTGATGGCGACCGTCGCACAGCGGAGGATCGTCCGAAGACCCACTGGTAAGTTTCGTGGAGTTTCCTATTCATAATCACTCGAATACTCATTTTCACAGACGTTGCCACTGAGTCTTTTTTATGCACAGTGTTCGCGGTAGCCTATTCACAATAAGGGGTGTCAGCCAGAAGTGGTATAACTGATACTCTAAGCAAAATGGTCTTTAGCTGTCATCGTGGCATTGTTCACCTTCGCCGTGTCTTGTTTCGTGATATTCAGGCATGATACGTATAGTACACTTTGGGGCATACACAAACTAGGGTGCACCCTTTATAGTGAGCCATCGTAGAAAGTCAAATCACTTTCATCTTCACAGATCTTGCCACCGCGCTCCTTGTTTACACTGCCCGTCGCGGTGAAATTTCTACGATTGCGGATCACATTTAGGAAACGTATATACACCTACGCGGCACTATGATGCCAATCCGCTGCGCATGCGAAGACATTTCACTTGTCGCAGTCCTTATTTCGGCGCATGCGTAGTGCCCACACCTGGTGTGGGAAAATGTAATGTGGTCATGTGTGTAAACAGCGTGTACTCCTATGGGTTGCCCACATTCTGAGAATCGTTGTCATCAACAGCTATCCGCCATTGCATGCCTCACTCTTATCGTAGATTGATTTCTAATTTTTCAGATCGGATAAAGTGTAGCATTGGGCTAACTTAAAATGCAGGAGAGTGCTTCAGAAACCTGACCTCGAAACGTACTGTCCTTATTTCTGCATATCAGAAATCATGGTCAGTGTTTTTTTTAATTGTATCTTTCGAGCCAATGAATACAAAATAATTATTGGCGCAGAAAGATCTTCTGTACATCCAAGTCCTGTACTCTTTAGATCAAGTGCAATACAAAATCGCCGTCGTCGACCAACCGATTTTTCTTTTTTCGTCCGCTTTGTTCTAGTGGGAGTTCAGACTTTCGGCATAAAACAGGTCCGCAGCGCACCTGTTCTTTCATGGCAGGTGCAAGCCAGCAAACTCTCATACGATTAAATATTTTGGGGCAGCACTAGTCCAAATATTTCCTCAGCTGAACCTGCGGCACCGGTCTCTATTCAGCCAGGGACAGGTGTTGTTGACTCGGCGGTTCCCCTTAAACCTTGCTTCGCTCCGAAGAAAAGAACACCTGCAAAACTCCGTGCGGAATACTTCTTAAAGTAGCATAAAGCGAATACATACAACATTCGACCTGTCAGTGACATACTGCGGGGATCCGGAAAAGGGGGAGAGGGTTGAGGTTTGTATGTCATGGCATGCACCTGCTTCCTGTATTACCGGGTTTTCACTAAACTTTCACAGTATCTGGGAACAGTGTCATCATCATCAATTATTTTTGTTGGATGGCCCGTTTCGTGCTGCCATAACACAAAGTGTCAACATAAAAAGATAAGAGCAATCAACGTACGAACATGAACGCAATGATAAACGCACTGTCAGCTAGTTTTATGGGTCTGAGAGGAAGAAGGTAGCAGTAGCTGTTTCAGGCCACATGTCGTGTCATGCCACCCGCTCCCCCGTGTTTGGACTAAAGCAGCTTCGAATAGTTCTCGTTCTCTACTGGGTCAGCCAGATGAGGCTTTATACTGTCATATTGCCGGTAGATCATTTACTAGTGTGATGCCAAAATCCACCGGCACGGCCATTTTGTACGACCTGGTTTCCTCAGCTGAGCCCCAGGTACATTGTCTGTCCGATGTGATCGAGCCGTTCCAGAGCCTGTAGTTTCAAGGGACGTAACATCGCACCGGTATCACCACCACCAGCCAATCCCGCTCCTTGTGTCGTGCGCCTTTTCCCCTATAAAATTTCCTATTCTGCTGGATTTAAAAAGAGCATCATTCCACAAACCGTCAGAATAATTTCTGCAACACCCGTCTTTGAACGAACAGCGCATCCCCCCCCCCCCCCCCCCAAAAAAAAAAAAAAAAAAAAAAAAAAACATTTGATTTGTTGTATTTTTTTTTTTTTTTTTTTCCGCAAAAATACACTACGCATTGCCTAACGCTCATTTTCCGCCCAAATGTAGTGCTTGAGGTCCGAACGAGATGCCAACTTTTTCTGAAGTAGCCGTTATTTCAATCAAAAGTTCTATGGGTAATTTTCTGAAAATTTCAACGGAAACATGGGGTCCGTTGTCACCCGTTTTCGGTACCTGGTGCCGTTTAGCTTCACGTATTCGAGAGCTACCTTTGAATGGCAAAACGGTTTGTTCTGGAACTTTGGCATTTGGTTTGAACCGCCATAGTGCTATATATCATCGCACGCTTTTCTCTTCGTGATTCGTTCCTTCGCGTTCTTATCACACTGATGCCTCGCTCTCATTGGCTGGAGCGATAATGAGCCCAAGAAAGAACCACGCTCCCTACTACTATACCCGTATTCGCCTCAAGAAAAAAAAAAGGGAGTTTTGCGCATTGTTCCTACGCCGCGCGAAATAGTTCTTACAAGATTTAATTGTCGAAGGAAGAAGCGATGCGGGTTTTCTGGCGTCTGAAACGTGTACCTCTCGATAAGATAACATATGTCTGATCTAAAACGCACGTACACATATCTCAATCATCTACATACAAATTCTAATTAGTATTGCTCCGAGGGGAGCCGGACTTTTTTTACTACGGTTCTTGACGTGAAAACGACACCCTTCCTTTCTCATGGTCTCAGAGACCTCTCGCATGTATTTCAAAACTCAAAGAAACTTGAGTGGATAAAACTTTTTTTATTATTATTTTAACCATGTACCTTCCGATACCTCCGATTGCTATAACCAATCAACGAAGGTTGATTGGTTATACTAATCCACCCTTCGTTGATTGGTATAACCTTGGCGTTGCTTTCCATCTGGAAGAGCAGCAAGTTCCCGGTCACCGCTTGTCGTGTGAGTAAGGGTCGGAAGCCGTTTTCCGTTGGCTTAGAGCGCAGGTCGGGATTGCTGGGCCACTGCCGGCGCGATGCCATCGGAGCGACCTCGAGGCGGCGTCATCCTTTTTCAGCCGTCTTAATATGCCTCCGCGAGATGCCGCGGTAACCTTCAACTTCCACAGCCGCTCTTTGTCACTCATGCGTCATCCTCGCCATGTTGCTATTTCTTCGCTTTTTTTTGTTTCGTTCACTCGACGGCACGAATGACCTTTAACGGTTGTTTCTTGTTGCATCAGAACGCGTAATTTTCTTCGCTCGTCGATCGTTCAGTTAGCTGAGCTTTTAAGATTCGGAGAGTGCCTTATTCTGGCGTTGATTGGTCAAAACGCTGATTGGTCGGTGAAATGCAGTTCTGTACACGTCACTCCAAAAAAAAACTAATCGATAACAATTATAATTATCCGAGGTTAAAAATTATTCAATTAGATTAAAATGTAAGGGGTCGGTGACTTGAACAAGTATTCGGTGCTTTTCCGGTTACTTCGGATGTTCAAAACGACAGATGTTTCTGCCGGTTTTAAGACTGGTATTTCCTATACTGTCCATTATTTAATTAGATTCACCGAATTATAAACTGTTTATCCTTTCTTAATCTTCTCATTTTCGTAAACCATCCTCCTGCCTGGTACTTTGTTCGAGGATTGTTGGTAGGACTTGTGCAAACAAGGAGAGTCATTAAAAAGGAGAGGGAAACCTAGTAGCGGTTACGACTAATTGTAATACTTCAAAAGTGATAAGATGACTATCGTGATTCCTTCCCAATAAAAGTAATCGAATGAGTACAAAGTTACTCCAAAAAGCAATCGATTACGAGTAATTTGATTACTCGTAATGAGTACTGGTACAAGCCTGGACTGACAGTGTAAGAGTTCAAAGGAAGCCCCCCCCCCCCCCCCCCCCTTCCCATTTCCACTTTACCAAAGCGAACGCTGGAAAGGAGGGGACGTCCTCTCCAGCTATTGCTCCGCTAAAGTGGGAAGAAATGGACACCCTTCAAGTCTTAGCCTTTCATCCACTAAAGTCACGGGCAGCTTTATGAATGCAAGGGGTGTTTGAAATTAAGAGCGAGGGTACGGAAGGCGTTCCCTCGCTTCTCTCATACTCACACACAAAAAAGGGTATATTCTGACACCCTTTGTCACGTGTGCGACACCCCAAAACTTCAGTTGGACGTACAGCGCAATGACGTTGAACCTGAATTTCACGAGCGGCTTGATAGCCGAGCTGTACAACTTATTAAAATAGCTAATGTAAGTGTGACTTACTACAAAACAAAGTTATCGGGGTTTCCTAGCCCTACTGCAAAACCTCTGTTTTTTTTTGTGTTTTTTTTTCTCTCTTTTTTTTTACTTTAATACGTACTTTAGTCGTTCAATATGTTAAATTGCACCGTCATCGACCCTATCGGAAAATTTGAGGCAGCCAGTCCGACGTCAGTGCGCTCTACTACGTCGAACAGAAGTTTTGGGGGTGTCGTATACGTGACAAAAGGTGTAATGCCCACACCCTTTTCATTTTTTTTTTTTTTAGAGTACAGAACGCGTTTCGGGTGTAACGCCGTTCCATCTTACGCAGATTCGCCGTCACCTCCAACGCAGCCTATAGTGTTGGGATCAGGCAGTGAAGGGGCACCCTCGGTATTTCATCAACGGGCGCCATTGTCACGAGCTGAGGAAACACTCGCCGAGTGCCGGCCGACCTAGAGCCATAAAAGAAAAACAACCGAACAAAACACGCAGCGAGTGCAGCACGAAAACACCGGGCAGAGACACGTTAGCAACGGACTGCCTCTATTTAGCCCTCTGATGCGTAATAATCTCGCACGCACTCACGCAGAGGCGCGCAGAAGATGTTTTAATTTGACCGCGCGGTGCCAGTGAGTCACGAAGTTGCACTTGAAAGAACGCCCCTAAAAGAAAGGATTAAAAAAAAAAAAAAAAAAAAAGACAAGCAGAAAAACAGTAATAAAGCAAAAACGGAAGACCCAGTAACGCGACCACAACGAACTTGTAGCCCCCTTCTCCCCCTTTTTTAAGTGTTAAGCCTGGTTTCTCTGCGGGACATCTTGCTGGGAAGCAGTGAGCC